CATGCCGCCTTTCATTATATTGCTAAATGGCCCTATGTATGTGAGGTTTTTTTCTTTGCAGAGGTATATTAGTATACAGCTGTTACTAGTCCCTTGCGGTCTATGAAACGTGTCTTTGTTGGTGGGTGTATGGGGGGCGGGAGGGAAAAGAGAGAGCTGAGGTTGTGAAATGTACATGGCAAATATAGACAGAGCAGATTGTGCTAGTGATGGCTCATGCAGAGTTGGCATAAGGCAAGCTCCCAAACAACCGAATCGAATTCCTGCCTCCCCATCCCACCAAAAAACTCCTACTTCATCCCTACATTTTAATATGCCTCTGGGCTTCCACACAGAAGTTTGTGCCCATGACTCAGTTGCAGCGATGGGGTGGCTGCAAATTGGGCTCTTGGCATATTTGCTACAGCCTCTGCTGCAGAAAGACCTGGTGAGGTTGCCATGGCAACACACAGCGGAGGCCTGTGCTATTCAGGCCAAGGTTTTCCCCACTCGCAATGCCAACCCATGGGGGCATAACTGGAGTCTCAATACAGTTTAGGATAAACCACCAACAATTTCTTCTCTCCCAATCTGTACTTTTTCAGCCTCCTGAACTTTTAGGTGTGTGAGAGAACAGAGGAAACCCGGATCTTGGAGTATGTGTAAAATCTTAAGAGGGTTGCTGTGATAATTGCATGTATGTAAATAGCTTGATTTGTAGCTGTTCATTATTTATTTTCAACTGTTTAACACAAACGTGACATGGTGCTTGCTCGGTGGGGTTATAATGTTGAAAAGAAAATGAATAATAAACATGGTGCAGAATGAGAGGAGAGCTCTCAACGATGGAGAAGAGAGAACTAAATGTGCCGTAGAGGAAAGGTTTGGGGTGAAGGGAATGTCGTGGTGGGCAGGAGGAAGCTGATCTAGGCACAGGAGCATTGTAATTAGAAGACACAGGTGGGAAGGGGCAAGAAGGTCGTGAGAAATAAGACATAGAAGGTCCAGGGCAGTGGCCCCAAAATTTCTGATAAAAAGTGGGTCACACTTTTGTTGCATTGAAACTGGTGGCATGCTCACACGTGAAAAGATAAGTGAGCGTTGCCCTCCTTCCCTCAGGCAAACTTCCTGATTGGAAGGCGACAAACTTAGAGTCGAGAACCCCCTCCGAGAGTAGGTGCTTCTACATCTCTGGATCTGGAGTGTTCAGGTGAGCTGAATCACACCAGATTCAGAGATAGGATAGACTTCTCACCCTCCCGGCAGAGGCCAACTGGAAGGAGGCAACAGAAAAGACCTCTGCAAGATAGTCATCACCCCCTTGTTAACTGAATGCAGAGAGGGGAAGTGAGATCATGCGTGCTGGTATGCCCTTGACATGGGCACGCCTGCTGATCTCCCCTCAGCTTCCATGTGTTCAGCATTAGTGTGAAAGGGGCCTATGGGTGTACAGTTGTGTGTGATTTCTGATCACACAAGGGAGACCTGTGAGCGTAGTGCGTCATTTCTAGAGACACTTTTCACACTAACACTGGTTGCGCAAACATGAAGGTATGCTTTGCCCTTCTGCTTGTAGAGTGAATGCTTTGTGTTTGTGTGTAACATAATTATAGATTTTTATTCCTATAATGCAGAGTTCCAACAGGCAGGCTCTTTTGTATGTTGGCTTTTTTGGCACTCAGGAGCCATCACAATTTAATTTTTTGTTGCAGGCAGCATACCATTGTGCCCTGGCATGGATTTTAGGGATTACTAGCATGGGAGCTAGAATTCGGTACAGCAATAAACAAGGATTTAGTATATGCTCAGAGGAACACTTTTATTACTTCTTCACATTGCTGAAGGTTCTGAAAAAAGCTGTGGACAGATTCCTAGTCAACCTTGATTGATCATGAATCAATATTCATTGTTAGTGGCCAAGCCACTAAGGATGATAGCATATAGCTTAGAAAAACATGTATGAGTAAATGTAATAACCTTTATGTATTTAGTTTTGCAGTGCCTTTGAACAGGAAAAAGATGGAGTGAAACTAGCTTGTTGCTCAGTTGATGCGGGATCCATATCAAGCAGCCTCTGAGCGCTTGGGCCTTTGGAGCCTGATGGGATTAATTCAATTCATAACAAGGAAGGAAGAGGTTGTATCTGTGTATGTTGTTAACCTCTGTTAGGAAGAGGGCAGTTTAATTGGTGCAAAAGGCATCTGGGTTCATATTTGCAACCTTAGACCTCTTCATCCTATATAAAGAGAAACTGTGATTTGAATATGTTGGGTTGTGTAGAAAGGAAACTGACCTGATCTACCAAAGGCAACAGCAGAAAGGGTTGGAGCTGAATATAGGGAGCTATTCAGCAGACAACCACAATGCTGGCTGTTCCTTGGAATCTTCATTTAATTACCGTATTTTTCACTCTATAGGACGCACCCGACCATAGGACGCATCTTGTTTTAGAGGTAGGTGCCCCTTCAGCGAAGTGGCAGGAGAAACAGAGTCCCTTCCATTTCTCCTCCCGCTTAGCTGAAGGGGCGCTGCGCCTTCGCTGAAGGGGCACCTACCCTTCAGCGAAAGGAACCCGAAGCCTCCGGAGTGCAGCGGGAGCTCCCGCTGCGCTCCAGAGGCTTCAGGCGGCTATCTTTGAAGCCTGGAGAGTGAGACGGGTCGGTGCACACTGACCCCTCTTGCTCTCCAGGCTTCAGTGAAGGCAACCCGAAGCCTTCGGAGCACGGCGGGAGCGCTCCTACTGTGCTTCGGAGGCTTCGTGTTGCTATCGCTGAAGCCATGGAGCCTGCATTCGCTCCATAAGACGCACACACATTTCCCCTTAATTTTTGGAGGGGAAAATGTGCGTCTTATAGAGTGAAAAATATGGTACACTGTGTTTTTCCCCTCTCTCACACACACTCAAGATGGGCAAGGAAAAAAGTTCTTAAATCTTCTCAGGCAAATTTTCAGCTCAGTGTTCTCCTCCCAAGCTGCTTACAAGATATGGAGCCCCATGCACTTTCTCCTGCAAGTGGGAGAGCATCAGTGAGTATGTGCATGCAATTTTGAGTTGAAAAACAGCTGGAGAGGAAAGGGTTACAAGATAAAGGGATAAGAAGCTTCTCTTCCTGCCACTCTCCCACTCTCAGTTGCAGCCTCCAAGACTGCTTTACAACACACACTGTTTGGGGAAAGTAACACACAATTCCATGTCATGTTTATCTGGTGAGGTCCCGAAAGTAGACTCTTTTGAAGTTAGATTTGCAGCAGTGTTGCCTCAGCAATAGCCAGGCCTAGATTGAGCCTTCAGATGCCTGGCCCTGTTTCTTCCTGATGACTCTCTAAGTTGCTGGATACCACAGAAGAGGAGAGTGTCCTTGTACTTGAATCCTGTTTGCTGGTTTCACACCGGCATCTGGTTGGCCATTCTTATGTTCTTAGAGTACTTCCATCTCCTCTTGCTAGAGTTCTTAACCCTGGAGAGGTTCCAAGTGGTTCCAGCGAGGGGGAAAAGTATTTGATCCCCTGCTAAATTTGCCTGTTTGCATTCTGTTGTTATTCTGTCTCTCACAGCTACAATAAAGCTACCATTAAAATTAGGGACCGGTCATTTCTTCGTCAGAGGGCAAACGGGCAAATTTAGCAGGGGATCAAATACTTTCCCCCCTTCACTGTAGGTATGTCTTGTGGTTCCTGAAAATCAGCTCAACTTGAACCCTCTTACGTGTCTAGTCCTGAAGTTGTATGGATGACTCTGGAAGCTTGTTTCTCTTGCAGTAGCATCCTAAGAATGAGAGCTGAATTTTTTTGCAGCCAGAGAGCTCCACATCTGTGGCAGCTGGTGACTTGTCTCCTCGGCTCAGGTTTTCAGCATTTAAGGATGTACACCATCATTTTCATCTGAAAACTTACTAGTGATAAGGATTCACAGGTGTTGCAGTTGGGGCAAGGTGGTTGCTGGCTGACCCTGGCAGGGAAATTCTTGCTGGACTTGCAGTTGCTCAGTCCTGTCGATAGGCAGACAGTTTTGGAGACCGTGTCTGCATTACCAGTTCCATCAGCAAGACGGCATACAGGAATGACTACAGCGGTCCTTTCATCACCTGTGCTTAGTCTGGCACTCACGACTCCAGTTTTGCCTCGCAGTGGGCTTGAGGTTGTGTAGAAAGCACTATTCTGAGCTTTCTGTATGCTATCTCTTTGACTTAGGGCTGTGAAAGCAGCAACCACGACCTTCAGCTAGATGAAATACAGGAGAGAGTTTCTTGGAGTACATGATGTCTTCCTTAAAAAAATTAAGATGCGGGTGTCCTTTTTGGTGATGTGCACAGTATGGAAGTGAGCGTTATGTGTGGATAGTGTGGTGACTGTGGGTTTGGACCCTCCATCTCTAGGGGCTGAGTCTAGACATATAGGGTGGGAGAGGAAATGGTCCTTGTTGCACCTCTGGCCCAAGGAGATTATGTTGCCCTCCTTTCACTCCTCTGATGCCAGTTCAGGAGCCTTCCTGTATGCTATTGAAATGACAACTGTTAAAGCAAACTATGGCCCTTTGAATAAGGAGCTCCTCTCACTGAAAGTGGAGCTATTTATCAAGATATAAAGGTAAAGGTACCCCTGCCCGTACGGGCCAGTCTTGACAGACTCTGGGGTTGTGCGCCCATCTCACTCAAGAGGCCGGGGGCCAGCGCTGTCGGGAGACACTTCCGGGTCACGTGGCCAGCGTGACAAAGCTGCATCTGGCGAGCCAGAGCCGCACACGGAAACGCCGTTTACCTTCCCGCCAGTAAGCGGTCCCTATTTATCTACTTGCACCCGGGGGTGCTTTCGAACTGCTAGGTTGGCAGGCGCTGGGACCGAGCAACGGGAGCGCACCCCGCCACGGGGATTCGAACCGCCGACCTTTCGATCGCCAAGCCCTACGCGCTGAGGCTTTTACCCACAGCGCCACCCGCGTCCCGCTTTATCAAGATATAGCTCCTTTTTAAGGCACAGTCTAAGGTTTACTGGGGCTGCGGCATTCAAACAAAGACAAGGAACCCCCTGTAGTACAATGGATCAGTGCATCTGGCTGTTAACCAGAAGGTTGGTGGTTCAAGCCCACCCAGGGACGGTTGTGGGCAAGGTTCCTGCATTGCAGGGGGTTGGACTAGATAACCCTTGGGGTCCCTTCTAGCTTCTGGGATTTTGTGATTTTATTTGTGTTTTGGGGGTAGATAACTTTTCAGCTGCAAGGGCTGAAAACGTTGCCTTGTGGTCCTTGTCCTTATCCTGTGGCTTTGTATTAAAGCTTGAAACTTTGGTGTGCAGTCAACCGAATGAAAGTTGCTGCTTACACTATATGCTGGTCTCCATCTGCTTCTGTTCTCTAATGACTTGTCCTATCCAGAATGTATTTAAAGAGCATACGCTGTACCCAATAAAAATCTGGAAAGATTAGTAGGCATTGCCAGTCAGGATTTCTAAACTTGGTGTTTGAGCTATGTTTGTGTGGGGTCTCGTGATTTTAGAAGTTGGTTTTGCATTTGTACTGTGGCTTTGGTAGTTCAACAGGTCTGTATAAGAGTGCCTTTTTGACAGTGGAATATCAACCTCAGAGGGCTTTCCTAGTGTCTTCTCTGTGGTCTTTTTCATGCCAGGTGAAAAAGGTGAAGACCTTATTTTTCACCCACACTTTTAAGCTACTGTATGTCTTAAAGTAATATTTGCTGTCTTGTTTGTAAGCTACCCAGGAAATATTTATCAATGGGAGGCTATATCAATTTAATAAATACTATTAGTACTAAGAGTAATATCCAGAGGACTGTTAGTCATTTGCAGCAAAAACATAGCAACACTTTGACTAGGTGTGTATCTGAAGAAGTGTGCATGCACACGAAAGCTCATACCAAGAACTAACTTAGTTGGTCTTTAAGGTGCTACTGGAAGGAATTTTTTTGTTTTGACTATGGCAGACCAACACGGCTACCTATCTGTAACTTTGACTAGGAAGTTCATTGTGAAGAAGGCAAGCAGCCCTGATGTTGCTTATTAGTAAGTATGTTCCCAAAATTTAGCAGAGTAATGTGGGGTCCCAGTACAGTGCAGCAGTGAATGAAATACTCAGCCAATATGGAGAATGTGTGCAGTTTTCAAGCTTCTAATGAGATGTACTACCTAGGCCGTTCTGAGTTATTTTAGTCATATGTTCCACATTCACAGGGATGCATATTCTTGGGAAGCTAAATTATATTACTAATTCCACATTTTGTGCTCTTTCTGTGGCTAGGCAGATTGCAGGATCTGCACAAGTATGTTTAATTCAATCAACATATTCACAATTTATGCACAAGATTAGTTGAACCCCTCTCTTTCCATAATTCATTGCAGCTTGGAGATTAAAATACATGGCACATCTGTCACCATGTAATGAATGCACCAAGTGATTAGGCTATCATATGATAATTGCAATCATCACCTGGCGCTTATGGCTCATTTAATGGTTTTCTTTGGTAGGAAGCAATTAAGAGACTGGAATTGTCAAACCAGGAAATGCTATGCAGGCTTAGCTTTCCTTTGAACAATGAAATGTTGCCCTAATTGCATACCACCTGAGGTTTTTTTTATGTACTGTATTCCTATACTTGTTCTCTGCAGGTCTCTCTAGAGCAGAAATCACACCCCAGCTCCAGTTGTCTCTCAGTTTGCTAGCAAACACTGGTTGGACTTGAACTTTTATGGCTGTGTTTTGATTTTTAACACCCTATTATGATAATCAACTTAATTATGGGAAGTTTCAGGCACTAATCCAAGTGGCAGTAGGTTGCACTGGGGGTGACAAAGGCCCTTGGAGCTAGGAAACTGTGGAGGAGACAGCAGTTTCTGCCAAACCAGCGGCTGCCACCACACAGGGGCTGGTGATGTTGTGAGCTTAGACAGCAGCTGAACATTTAACAATCTACAACATGGAAAGCTGCCAGAATTCAAATTAGTGGTTATCCTCAATTCAAACAAGCAAATTCAAGGACACATTCTAGTAGCTCAATTTATATTTGCTGCCAGAGAATTTCAAGGTTGTTTGGTTTTATTCCTTTAATGTTATATTTCTATAAAAACATACTTAAGGCAACGTACAAAAGAAGAACAACAACAATTTAAACATGCAAAACAATACACAAATATTCTTTATTTATGTAGTGCAATATTTCAAAATTTGTATGTTGCTGTTGTTTAGTCATTTAGTCATGTTGGTAGCTTCAAGAACACTGTCCAACCATCTCATCCTCTGTCGTCCCCTTCTCCTTGTGCCCTCAATCCTTGTGCCCTCAAAAATTTGTATATCTATTTCTATTTTAAAATGTCTCTTAATACAAGTCATTCCCCCACTTTAACATGGGGAAAGGGAGCTCAGAAATAACTGCAGTCTTGTTCTTACGTTTCACTGCATATGGCTTGGGGAAGGGGTTTCAACAAACAAACCCTTCTCTATTTCTTTTCTGCCTTCGCATTCAGCAGTGGGATATATGTATGCTCTCTTGTGGAACAGATGATTTGTTCTGGGTTGGTATAGGTGAGGGGAAAAAGTATTAGAAGTTTAAGAAAGAGAAGACAGGTGTATTTGCTGGCAAACACTGTACAAAAGTTCAACCAATCGGATTTGGCTGTTTGACTATACTGTTTTGTTATCTACCTGGCGGATCTTGTTGAATGGGCAGTTTATTTATGTAAAACAACAACAACACATAAATAAACAAACATAGAAGTAAATCAGGGCAACAGTAGCCAATTCGGAGTAAAGGCAATTTATACAGAAATCACTATCCTTGCTAGGAATCAGCTTTATTTGCTCTCAGGTGACTTTGTCAAATAGCCAAATCCAATTGACAAAGTTGGCAGGAGCAGGGACCAAGCAACGGGAGCTCACTCTGTCGCAGGGATTTGAACCGCTGACCTTCTGATCAACAAGTCCTAGGCTCTGTGGTTTAACCCACAGCGCCACCCACGTCCCTAGCGCCACCCGCGTCCCTCCTGCCAACCTAGCAGTTCGAAAGCATGTTAAAGTGCAAGTAGATAAATAGGTACCACCACTCTGATGGGAAGGTAAACGGCGTTTCTGTGCGCTGCTCTGGTTTTGCCAGAAGCGGCTTAGTCATGCTGGCCACACGACCCGGAAGCTGTATGCTGGCTCCCTTGGCCAATAAAGCGAGATGAGCGCCGCAACCCCAGAGTCGGTCACGACTGGACCTAATGGTCAGGGGTCCCTTTACCTTTACCTTTAATTGGCAAAATAGACTTGTGACTCTTAATGGTGGATATTTTTGCTTAAGAAAGGACACAGGTCAGTATGACAAGAAGCATAAAGAAAGAGGAGGAAGAGGAGGAAAAAAGAAAGGGATGAAAAGTAGATCAGCTAAGAACTAATGAAACTCCCCAAGCTTAAGTCCAGAAACAAATCAACAAGCTTTCTCTAAATAAAAGTTTTTGGAGAAAGATCTTCTTGAGCAATGAGTTCCACCATCGCTTCTTTCACTGCTCAGTCACAGGGGCATTGTGAGACTTGCAACAGCAGAGTCTAATTTGCTAAACACCAAATAAGCAAACACTGAATAAGGAAGAAATATATAATCCTGAGCTAGATGATTAAAGGCAAATGAACTAGATGAAGGCAAATTAAGCTTAATACAATGCTCCACTTCATGAAAGAAAAAAAAACAACCAGAAACATTAGGGCAACTCTAGTACACTTGCACAAAGCCAACATCTTTTGTCAAGGCCACATTTCAGAAATAAGAAAGATTGGAAGAGGGCTTATGTGCACAAGAAGCTGGCATAGGGTGCCCCTGCAGGTAGAGTGTGGGAGTAGCCCTGTTGGCAGTCAAAGAAGGAGATAAAAGAGAAACTAATATAGGGAGTTCTGTAGGTACTGTGCCATAGAGAACCATGATATTAATTAGGGATGGATGCAAACGTGGGAGTCCATGGAGTTCTCCTGAAAGGCACCAGCCAGTGCCTACAGCTCAATACCAGGCAACTTCCCTGGCCACACAGTACCAGGCCCTGGCACTGTGGCACCTGCCAGCTGGCCTTAATTAACTTCAACTTTCACCAGCTACTTTTACTGACCTGCTCCTACTTGAGCCAGTGCTCTCTCCTGCTGAGAGGGTTTGGCTCCCACAAGGCCAGATCCTTAAGGCTATAAAGAACTGCTGGTTGGAAGCATTGCAGCGAATTGAATGTACTTGACAAGGGCGACAGGGGCTGTCTGTAGCTCTGTGAGGGCAATGCAAGAAGGTGACATGAGGAATTAACCTGTCCTCGGAGCATCCACCAAAATGACAGTAAAGCAGGCAACAGGGAATAAATAACACACACACACCTGTCCAGAGAAAGTCCTTCTTTGCATGACATTGTAAAATTAAGAGGTGCTCTTAGTTTTGTTGATAATTAGGGTTACCACTAAAAAAAACTTTTTTTTTTTAGTTATGTGATTTTAATGTCAGCCGATTTAAGGAAATTAATAATTTCTTGGCACTAGGGGAAAGCTTCATTTGTGTGTGTTTCGGGCTGCACTGAACCAAGCACCAAGAAATGAAATCCCTTTAGTCTGCTGGTGTTATTCAGAGTAGACTCACCGAAATCAATGGACATTACTACTAACAAGTCCATTAATTTCAACAGGTCTATTCTGAGGAGTCAGATGAATACCACCCTGAGTTTGGGATTGGGTGTGTGTATGTGTAAGTGGAAGAGGGAGAGAATGGAACCTGATTGATTAGGCCATGGAAGGTTTGGGGGTTTAGGGTATTTTTGCGTTTTGAAGAGCTCCTGTCAGACAATGTCTGTTTGCGCTGAAGTCGGAATTGGTGCTTTGCAACAGACCTTGCTGCTCTAAATATTTTACACCTGTCTTCACCTTTGGAATGCAACTTGTGGCCTGCCTGACTTGCACTGGCATCTTTCTGCAGAGATCTCATTGATAATATTCTGGTTAAGCAGAATTGAATCTGGTATTCCTGGATACTTAAGCAAATGCAAACTTGTCCTTTAATGTATTATAAGAGTACAATTTGAAATTACTTAAGATAGTCAAAATTGCAGGCTGCTGAATCTTCCTTACAAGTTTTTCCTGCAAAT